TCTTATTCTTGAGGACAGAATGCATCATCTGGTACAGCCTTTCCCAACGCAGTACCTCCAAATGTATTGAACTGGAAGACCAGCTTAGGGTGGTTAAATAAAATGTGCCTTTGTTCAGAAATTGATCTTGCAACCAGTTTTTCAGCATATGTGATGAGGTTACATTCATATAACACACTCAGGGCTGAAAAATATAGTTCTATGTTTATAAGGAAGAACAAAGAGTTATCAGGCAAGCTTGAGCAGGGAAAGTGTATACAGGTAGCCCTCATTATATGTGGTCTTATTATTCATATAAAAGTTTTCACATATCTATAGTGTGGGTCTTCTTTTTACTTTACCCATGTATAAAATGGCAAATGGAGTTTTGCACATGTGTAAAGTATGTTGTTAAGGGTCATGTCATCTGTGCAATGCACATGTATTTTCTCCTCCTTTTCCTCTACTCAGCCGTGGTGGATCTTGCTGGGTCAAGCCACACGGCTTCCTTGAGGCAGCTGATCCCCTTCTTCAGAACACCTGCGGACTGTGTTGCTGGATGCTGGTACTGCCTGCAGACCACTTGTTTTGATTTTTTTAAAATATAATTTTTATTGAGAGTTTTAACAACAATAGTAAAAAGCTAATACAAACTGAAGTAGAACAAAAACAAAAAACAAAAAGGGAGAAATAAAAGAAAAAGCTAAAAGTGCAAAAAAAAAGAAAGTAAAGAAAAAAGAAAGAAGAAAAATAGGAAAAAGAAGATATAAAAGATATAAAGAAATGGCTTCTGATCTTATTCATAACAGTTATAAGTACAATTATATTTTAACCTCTCTCTCTAATGTTATATCATGACTCTTCTTTCTATAATCTATCCTATCTAATCATCAAAACCATAAATCACAAGTTCATTTTTTTCTTTTTTATGCAAAAAATCCATTAACTTTCTAGTCACCAATCAATGTAGATATCATCTTCTCTCTAATCAAACAAGTCAATTTAGCCATTTCAGCAAGTTCTGTCATCTTCGCCAACCAGTCCTCCATTGTTGGCATTGCCAAATCTTTCCATCTTTGTGCATAGAATAATCTTGCTGCAGTTATCATACATAAAAACAGTGTTCCTTGGCTCTTTTCTCCATCAGTCTCAGGAGGAAAAGTTCTGGTTTCAACTGAATGTTAATCTTTAAAATCCTCTGAATCACTCTTTGTATTTGAACCCAAAATTTTCTAGCTTTTTTACACATCCACCAAGCATGATAAAATGAAGCAAGACAGTTTCAAGTCAAATCTTGACCCTCTTTAGGTATTAATGCTGTATTAGCCTCTTTCCAGCTGTTCAGCAACTTTCCCCTTGATTTCTTGGTCACATTGCTGGATGCTAATGTTTCTACCAGACTACTCTTGGCTTGTTTCAATTGCCATGAGGACTTATATTCAGTGACATGACTGAGAGGCCCCTTCACCATGACCATGAAAGAGCCATATGGAGCAAAGAAACCGTTGTGAACCAGGTAGCACAAGCAAAGTAACTCCTTCCATTACCAGCAGAACAAGTCTGAATGCACTTTCCTCTTCCCTCCCTTTATCTTCATAAGAATTAGGGAGGGTCGTGTCTGAGATGCTTACTCAAATTGCATTTCTGCCCTGGGCTCAGATTTCTTTTATCTGACCATTGCCTTAGTTGCAGCTCTTCCTCCTGTGCCTCAAGTTTATTCCTACTGCCCCATTACACACAGAGCCTTGCAACTGAGCTGAATGAACCTCCCTCTCCTAATTTTCAAAGAACCAAGATCTCATTATTTATGGTTTCTTTATTCTTGGTTTTACACTGGAACAGAACCCCCATGTATGCCAAGGGCTGCTTGCATATATTCTTGCATGTGTGTTTTCCCAAATTCAAGTACAGATGCTTACAATGTTGAAAAAAGTGAATATTTGACTGGCAGGTGCTAATTTATCCTTAAACAAGTAACCAATAACAATTTGGAGCACGAACTCCAGGAGAAATTTCAGTAATTTTCACTGCAACAATATAGATTTCTTATTTTATAAAATTACACTGGCAACATATTTTAAATGCAATTTGTTAGCAAAGGAGTAAACAAAGTGATGAAGCTAGAACTATTTGTATCTTCTTAATTTCTAGAGCACTTAAAAGAGTTGTATATCAACTAGGTATGATGTTGATGTTTTGGAAGCTACTAAAGATATAGTTGCTTCAAAGAGCTTTCCTCTGATTTTATCATGCCATTTTTTACTACTATATTATTGCTTTCATTCTTATGTTTGTTTCTGTTGTCTTTATTGAAGTTTGTACTGTAAATGATTTTTTGCCTTCTATACTATCAGTCGATGTATTGTGGTAGGACAGAAATGTGTAAAATAAATAAATAAATGCACAGAGTTGTATCATAACTGAAGGGATTATTTAAAAATGAAATCAGTGCTTAAAGATAGTTGTTGTTGTTACTGTTATCAGCCCAAATCAATCCACTGCAGGATGAAGGTTCCTTCACTAAAGGTTATGGACCATAATCTACTATGCTTGTCCAGTGAGGTTGGTAGATAGATGCTTTTCGACTTCCTAGTCTAAAGCTGAGAGAAAGTGACTAGCTCAAAGTCACCCAGCCAAGTTCCATGTCTGAGGGAGGTAGAACCTGGGTCTTCCTGGCTCCTAGCCCAGCATTAACCACTATACCACACTGGCTCTCACAGGACATACAATTATCAAAAAATATAGTGCATGTAGATGTTACAATATAGCGTTGCTTCATTTTATAATTTGTACTGTAGTTAAACAGATTAGCTACTTGCTTGTTAACAAATCTGCCACTTATGAGCTTTGATACTTGGCCTTTATCAGTTGTCTTGTGCTAGTTCACACTTTTCAGATTGATTGTAACACTAAAGGAGGTTTCCAGCAAAGAAGACAATCAGCAGCGGTTCTGGGTACAGTCACATACTATTTCTATTTCACGTATCACATGTCACTCGAAGAAAGATTCCCCAGGAGGGACTGATACAAAGAGCTATAGACTAGTGACACACAACAAGCAGAAAGCGAGTTAATATATGAAACTGTCTTGGCGTTTGACCAAGTTGGCAGGGCTGTTACTTAGATACTAAAATCATGTTTTTTGTTTTCTGACAAGTAACAGCTCCTGCCTAGGCATATTTGAATGTGGGAGTCAGAGGTGGGGGTGGGGAGAAAGAAAGACAATCTATTACGTGATGAAAGACAAATCATGAAATATTTATGCCTACATTTAAAATTACTGTAGCTATTCCAAATTTTAATACAGATAGCACAACTATTTTAAATCCCCATGATAAGTTACTTTACTTTTATGTTATGTTACACTTTTCCTTAGCAATTTCATTTTAAGTCACCATCCACTCTACCATATGTTTTTGTTTCTTCCTTTCTTTTTAAAGAAGGAACTACACCCATTTTCCTTTCTGAGAGAATTCTAAATTATGCTGAGAGGCTGTAAATTAAGCAGTTGCAGCCATGATGCATTTACAAAAAAGCCTGTAGCTCAAACAGAAGCACAGGCCAGTAACAGCACCATGGGCCCCAGACCAGCCCTCCCTACCCTAGGGTGCTGTTCAGCAGTTTAATTTAATTTAATTTAATTTAATTTATTAAACTTGCATGCTGCTCGATTCTCAACAACTCTGGGTGGCTCACAAAAATCAAAGAAACTACAATAAAATTAATAAAACATAAAAAATAAAGATAAAAGATGGCAAGCATGATGAAGTGAGGGGTCTCAGTCTCCCTCATCAAAGGGCTGAGTGAAGAGCCAGCCCTTCACAACTCTTCTAAGCAACTGCAGAGTGGGGGCCATCTGGATCTTGGGGGGAACCTGGTTCCAGAGGGCAGGCACTGTTACAGATTAACTATTAAAACACTGTGGTCCTCCCAGGTTTTACTGAATTCTGACACTGGCCTGCTGGCCTCAGGGAAACTGACATGTCCTCATGTCGATTTTAGTAAAGAAGATTAAAAAAAAAACCCCAACCAACCACCAGTTACTGCACATTTACTTATAAGCATACCCTGTTGATCTCAAGGGGACTTACTGTCAAGAACAAACATATTAGATTACAGCCTCCTTTGAATCTCCCCCAATGTCTAGTAGAATGAGATTTTACAACAGTCTCTTATTCCCCTAAATGGATTGTTTGAAAAAACAATCTCTCTGTGTCAGATTTTGTTGCTGTCCCCCCCATGTTTCTTAGCGCTAGTGCTGATTATAGCAAAAGCGAACTGTTTTGCTTATAATATAAAGCTGCTTCGGGTTTGGAAGCAACATAAAAACTGATTATGTTCAATTCTTCATTGTTTATCTACTTTTATTGGTAAAAATACTGAAGTCAAGAGCATAAAAGAATAAAGAAGGAATGAAAGGTCTCATTGAAAGAAAACAAGGAAATTGCTAAACCAGCAACAACAAAATCAAAATGGTCAAATATGTGCCTTGGAACAATTATTAATAGCTCAGGCTATTAATAATTAGCTCAGAATAGCTATAACATCCCTCTAAAGCTTCTCTGAACAAATATGCTTCCACCAACCACTGAATAGCAAGCAAAGAGAGAACCAATAGACCTTCCTTAGGAAGGCATTCCACAACCTTAGTGCCATGATAGATAAGACCTCTGAAGATGGCCCTCTGGTAGTACAGACAGAAAAGGAAGAAGGAAAAGCTCCATGTTAAAAGATAGCAACTTTTAAATAGTCTAATCCTGCCACATTATGAGTTGAAATTCCTTCAGATCAACACAATAAATTGAGCCAGAAGCAAATTGGCAGCTAAATGAAAATAACATGACATCAGAGTGACATGTTCTGACCTGCATGCTCCGATCAGCAGCCAGGCAGCTGCCTTTTGAACTAGGTATGTATTAAACGCAACCGGGCAAGAAACAATAGTGGCCAGGTGCCCGTCTGCATGTGCTATAGCCACGTTTGGAGCTATAAAGAGGTGCATGCCACAATAAAATCATTACCTTTTTGAAAAGTCGTCCAGAGTCTTCACTGACTTGAACAAACCGAGGGATTATGTTGTTCAGATAGATGTCACTCAAAGTAGTGTGGTCCCTGCTCTCCCTCTTCACCTGATTCAAGAGGAGATTCCAGCAATTGACAGGAGAAAGAACATTCTGATCCTTCCTACAGGGAAAACAAAACCATAATATGACTTTTCTCCCAGTGTATTATTTTGCACACTGAAGTTTTCAGATACAAACATTCATGCAGTTATCAGGGGAGGGAAGGAGAATGATAGCCAACTATCATTCTGTAATCAAGATATGAATAGATGAACAATCTACAAGAACTGTAAAAAAATCCGTGGTCTCCTTGGTATTTGTTTTTCACCCAAAATGTCTCAAATTAGCTCCTTCCCAGCTTATGTGAAGTGATATTAAAACAAAAAAGTGTCAGCCACTGAGTTTTGGAAAATAAAAGAATAAAACTGTAATGTAAAAAAAAATACAATTAATTACTGGTAGCCCTTACAGGATGATGATCTTTACGCAGAAGTATTGTCAGAGTTTTGGTTGGGTTTGTCAATATGGAAAATCAAAAGGATTATCACTCAGAGAAGAAACACTGAATGACATATGGGGAGGAAGTTAAAGGCTGGCGAGCTGATGACCCTGTGAACTGTAGTTTTCCAGAAAGTGAATGTTCAGGGAACAGAAAGTAGCATTGTGCTCAGAACATAGCCATGTCCCATTCCCATCATAGCAACCATGAGAATTATCTCATGACAGGATATTACACAAATACTCAATCATCATTCAGATTGACAGCAAAGAAACTATATTGACAAGGAACTTTTAAAAAGAGACCAGTTTCCAACAGTTACCTCTGACCAGCATAAACAGCTATCTTCTGAGCATTTAGGGCATGTGTCAATGTATGATTTTTTTGGCATGGGGATAAAGGATTTATACAGCACATTTTTCAGATACCATATAGTCCAGAACAGCCTTACTCAATGTGATGTCCTCCAAATGTGATAGATATCAATTCTCATAATTCCAGGGCTGTATAATCTTTAGCTAGGAGTTATAAGAGTTGAAGTAGGTGAGAGGACAGCATGGCAAAAACATCTGAAGTTGCTATTATCACACAGGCCAATTCATGCAAAATATTGTCACAATTTTATCATAAAGTTCTTCTGCCAATATATAAAGTTTTATATATATAAATGTATACACATCCCTTGTTCAACAGAAAAGGTCTCCTTCCAGTTTGAGATTCCATAGTCCAAGCTAGAAAGAACATGCACTGATTTTTCTCTCAACTGAAAGTAAACCAGGAATTGGTTACTACCAACCCAACTGTTATCCAGATGTCAGAACTGCAACTCACAGTATTTCCAACCAACTTCTAAGTGATCTAATTTATTTATCATGTCATCTGACACAGGTGGTATAATGGTATGAGGGAATGACTTTGGGAGATAGGAGGGAGAACCGCAGACTTGACAACCGTTGTGTAAAAGGTATCAGCCCACAGAAAGAGAGGAGGGGGCGTGGGAAGCTTTCAGGAAGGATCCTCCCTAGGTTTCTGGAGAGTAAAAGGAAAGGAGGGGGAGAAATACTTTCAGTCTTGCAAAATTCTATTACTTAATCGTACAATAAAGATGGAGCTAGTACTCCTGGTTGTACTTGTTATCTGGACTACCTCACATGGCTAACAGGTAGCCATTAGTGGGTAAAAGAGGATTACACATTTCTATTTCCAGGCCAGATCATAAGCAGATCTACCATATACACCAATAGTATATACCAGAATTACCCAACCTGAAACCTAGGCTGCATGCTGTCTTCAAATCTCTTCTATACACCCCCAAAATATTTAATTTTAAGTTAATTTAATCTATTTAAATCCAGTTTTTGTCCTCTCCCTACTTATTTCCTTGTTCTGATACCCTATTATTCAGAGAGACATTTCATACATTTTTCCATTGGAGTGCAAATTGAATTCTATTCTCCTAAACAAGTAAAATACATTCATACACACTGTCTCCTTCAAGGCAAGCAAGGCAATCCCAATAAATAAATGCCACTGTACAGTGAATTGATAACAGAAGTTTCCTACCACAATGCTCCTAGAAATATCAGAAATACAGATGAGCCTTGATTCCCACAGTTATTTCCCACAGCAAAAGAGCACACAGAAAGATGGGATCTGCAGTAAGATGCAGGTTAGTTTTATTTAAACAAAACAGCAAAATACAAGAATGCCATTTTCAAAGCAGCTGATTTGGCAGAGTGTCTTACTGATGAAAAATACCACAGGAAGTTTGCAATCTGAAGTTTGCAATCTGGATTGTTTCAGGAATTCATATATAAAGGAAGTGACAGAGTTTGATTGATTCAAAGCAACCACTAGTTCTGGTTGCCAAAAAGAAGCAGCGCATTTAAGAAGGGAAAATACTTTTATTCTGTGGTCTTGTGTTTGCATGTTGCTTCTGCAGAGAAAAGTTGAGACAAAGATCAAAAGGCAGCATCACTGAATTTAACAATGAGCTGGCTGAGGAACAAAACATTCTCTCTTGCATACAAATATAAAAATAGCAAAAGGTCTGCTGAACTGTATTTATGCTTTTCCATATAGTTTACAGCACACCCTAACCCTAACCTGTGGCTTTCCAGATGCATAACACCATAGCTCATCCCAAGCCAGTGCAATCAGGAGAAGGGATGATGGGAGATGTAGTCTCATTGCATCTGTTGAGTTTCAGGTTTGATTAGTTGGTCCTACAGGCTTTACAATTCTTAAGCCATTAGGTTATGAAATTTCAAATGATGCTGTGTTGGTACAAAAAGATATTGCTTTTTACAGCAAGTGATTGGTTCCTCCACAGCAAAAGGCAGGATCTATTTTAGTTGCTGTAATAGCACAGGATTAGGCAGCCTAGGGCAATACAACAGTCAAGTACTAAGGGACACTGTGGAGACCTTACAAACTGCCTACAGGCTATGGATTTCAAACACCAATCTTCCTTGTTACAAACACCAGGAGCAGTCGTTTGTTTATGAATAGCAAGCAATATCTGCTTGTTTGTGACCAAGTAACTGTTTTCAACAATCCAAATATAATCAAACTGGCCACATAGAAAATAATAATAATTCTAACCACACTATAAAGTCAAAAACTGTACTCTGAATGGAAAACAGAATGAAGTACTTTTGTAACATACTGAAACATTATGGAATTGTAGGATTACAGAACTATATCCCTGACAGTTAAAGAGACTACATGTTCTGCTCTTTTCCTCCTCCTCTTTGTGAAAGGGCTAGAATTAGCACTAATATGTACATTTTTCTTATATTCAACCAAAGGGTTTTAACTCCAGCAGATTGTGATTGTGAATGGCTTATTTGTATTCTTGGACTACTACTGCATACACTTCCTATTACAATTATCTAACATTTAGCATCCCCTCCCCCCCCCCAGCAAGTCTTGCTATGCTGCCTCATTGTGGTAGGGGAAGGGGGATGTCCCAGGGAGGGATGACCAAGGAACATCAGGAGTGTATGCTGAGGATATATATTCCCAGCATGGTGACCCAAGGTATGGAAGTCATCCCAACTGCCCAGTTAAAGCAAGCAGGCACCTATACTGGGCAGCAGTGATATAGGAAGATACTGGAGGCAGATGATCACTTCAGTGACAAAGGCATCAATTCATACTGTGTGAGAGAAGGCAATGATAAACCACTCCTGTATTTTTTTACCAAGAAAATGACATGGATAGAAAATGTAAAATGATTGATATAATACTGGATGGTAGCTCCTCAGGTCAGATGGCCCTCAACATTCCAGGATCTTTCGGAATACTCATGGTGTTCATGATGTGACTAGATTATAGCCTTCAAGACATCTAATTGCTGATGTTGCCATAAAGGAAAAGAAAATCCAAAATGGCAAAGACAGAACAGTGGGAACAGTGGGAACATGGAACATAAGAAGCATGAACATGGGAAAGCTCAACATAGTGCAAGATGAAATGAAATGATTACAGTTTGACTTCTTAGGCATTAGCAAACTGAGATGGACTGGAATTGGATACTTTCAGTCAGAAGATTGTACTGTTTACTACTCAGGACATGAAAAACAAAGAAGGAATGGTATTATTTTTATACTTAGGAAGGGTATAGCAACAACAGTACTTAGCTACAATGAAATCAATGATTGAATAATATCAACTAGACTTCACAGACAACCCTTTGATATGATGATCATCCATGTTTATGCTCCAACCACTGGTGCAGAAGAAGAGGCTGATGAGTTTTATGATAAAGTTCAATGTGAAATCAACAAAACATACAAGCAAGATGTGCTGCTTATAACTAGAGACTGGAATGCCAAAGTTGAAAACACTAAGAAGGAAAATGTAGTTGGATTATATAGCTTAGGACACTGAAATTAATCAGGAGATTGATTTATCAATTTTTGCCACTCCAATTATTTCTTCACAGCTAACACTATCTTCAAACAACTGAAACAATGCTTCTATACAACAACATCATCAGATGGAGTATATAGAAATCAAATTGATTATATTATTGCTAAAAGGAAGTGGAGAAGCTTAACTATAGCATCAAAGTCATGGCTAGGTGCTGACTGTGGAACAAATCACAAACTGCTCATGTGCAAGTTCCAGGTTAAGCTAAAGAAGAAGAAAGCCAGTCAATTTCCACAATATGATCTTGAACATATAGCTATCATTTTCAAGAAGAACAGCAGGAATCACTTTGAAGTCCTGAACCTCATCAATAGAGAACCAAAGGAATGGTGGAATGAACTTAAGTCATTAAGATGTGAAATGACTTAATGAATGTGAAAAAAAATTGCCCAAGATGGAGAAACAGAAGAAAGCAGACTGGATATTAGAACAAACCACGGAAATCGCTGAGAAGAGACAATAGTGCTGACACTCGCTGGATAATTGTGAAAGCCGAAGAATATCAAAAAGAAGTCAGTGTGTGCTTCATTCATTATAGAAAGGCCTTCAGTTGTGTCAATCATGTCAAGCTGTGTCATATGCTTAGAAATATGGGAATCCCAGAACATCTCATTGTTCTCATGCGAAATCTACACACAGGACAGGAAGCCACAGTACAAACAGAACATGGCAAAACAGACTGACTG